GTGTCTTCGATGTCGAGGGCTTCGGTATCGGGCGGTCGACATCGGAGGCAGGTCTCGATGCTGGAGCTGTCGATGTAGACGGTCTCTCCTCCATCGCTGAGGCAGGAGCAAGGGCCGATTCAAGTAGCGCCACTTTAAGGCGCGCAGCGCGGTTCTTCCTTGTTTGATTGGAGAAGCGAGCACAGTGATGACAGGACTCTGGCTTGTGAGACTCTCCAAGGCAAAAAATGCAGAGGGTATGACGGTCGGGAGGAGCAAGTTTGCTACCACAACGTCTGCATCTATTGAAAAATCCCCACTTCTTCTCCATAAGAAGAGAAGTGGAGAAAAACGTAAAACGTTTGGGGGGGGGGTGGCCCGAAGGCCTGAGGTAAATTCCCCTCAGAAGAAAATAAAGGTATTTTTAAAAAGTTTTTTAAAGAACAAATCACTAAAAAAGATAAAATAAAGAACGGAAATAATTCCTAAGAGCTGAGAGCTGCGAGGCAAAAGTGAACAGCGAACCAATCAGACCAATGACGAAAGAGGTCTTTCCAACGCGGCGGTAAGAAAGGAACTGGCGGGATGTCCACGCTCACCCCTCTGGGTATGCGCAGTGGGGTTCCTGCGCACGCCTGAGGGACTGGGCGCGAAAATCCGTTAAAAGAGCTTGCTACAGCACCTATCGATCCAGCGCGTGCGCACTAGATCACACTGGTGTGAAGCACAGAGACCACGTCGAAGATCTTGAAGTTATAAGAGATGGTGATGGCAACTGTCTTAGATGGCTTTAAAAGCAGATCAGACAAACTGGTGGATGATCAAGTCTATTAATAATAATAATAGCCATGGTAGTTAAATGGAAACATCCCAATTCAGAGACAGTATGCCTCTGAATGCAAGTTGCTCTCTTCTTCATCACTCTCTTATGGACTTCCCAAAAACATCTGGCCACTGTTGGAGTAGGATGTGTACACATCTCCCTTGTAAGGGGAGATAGGACAACAGCTTCAAAAAACAGAGGAAAAAGGGGGGGAGAAAATGCATCTTATTTACACTTTCTCTCCCTTTTGATTACGACATCCAAAACTGCTCAATATAAGATGTATTATTATTGGATTTTAATCTTTCCAAGGTAACATCACCACATTTTGATAGATTAGTCCTACATGTGCTTTTGAAAACTGAATAATTTGATTCTCCAAAAAAATGTTACTCAATAAGGAAAACAGTGTTCAACTTATCTCCATGTGTTCAGTCTCTTCAAATTAAATATCTGAACATCTGAGCTCCATATTCAAAAGTTGCCCTATTATTTTTGTTTTACTCTTTGCCTGGTTATATGTGTGTTCTGGAAGTATCACACAGTGCAACAACTACCAATACCGATATACACGTTGACACTCTATTACTGCTTTTGTACATCTTACTTTACAGATCTAATGGTATATCTAATACTACCTGTAGTGTTCTTTTGCATCATCCAGAGCAAGTTGTCTGAATTCCTCATACATTTTTTTATTAAAATGGTCTCTAAGGAAAAAAGACCAGAAGCGAAAAAGTGTGTTCATTTCTTGAGACTGACCAATTCCCAACCGTTTCCTTTCTGGAGAAGGAAAAATACAAGACAACCTGTTAAGAAATATAATTCTACTAACTGCCAAACACAATTTCAACATTAAACGATGCTATAAAAGCACAAATAGCACACGCCTTAGACATCTGCTCCCAGAAACAAATTCATTGGAATGTTAAAGTCACATATTAAATTTAAATATACTTTAAATGTACTTTAAAACTTGCTTTTGCTGCTGCTAGGAGTGCACTAATGAACTTCAAAAATTGCCACTACACTTTACATTCAACTAGCTTTTAAAAAACTAATCCTAATCATTTAACTACATCAAATGGTAGGAATTTTTCTACTACACAGAGGTTGCTTTTTCTGCTACCTAAACACTCAAGATAACGGAGCACAAAATTTTTGTTTACATTCACTTAAGTGAAAAAACATAACAGCACTGGAATACTTATGTGTTTGCTGCAATGCTACAACTGATAAAACACACATAATGAACAGTTATACAGTTCCTGGAACTAAGGGCCGAAAGCTATGCAGGCTTGTTACCTATTTAACCTTTTAAGAACATACACACAGTAAATAAGGCAATAGTAAAGTACAGCTTAGCATTTCGTACATATATCCAACAACAAATACTATGTATTTACCATTTAGACATCCACGGCGATACTTGTGGTACACTTGCTGTGTAAATCCATTTTCCTTTAGAAGTTCATGAGAAGGGTGCTGAAATTTTGGAAGCGAATGAGGGGTACATCCATAGCTTCCAGACAGTGGTGCACCTTCAGAAGGTGATGCATTTGAACTGCTATAGGAAATAAAAAAGAAGTCTATCAGGCCCTGACCTGGATAGCCCAGGCAAGCCCGATCTCGTCAGATCTCAGAAGCTAAGCGGGGCCAACTCTGGCAAGTACTTGGAAGGGCAACCTCCAAGGAATACCAGAGGCAAGACACAGAGCCAGGTACTCAAGCCACCTCTCTGAAAAACATCCAAGCCTCCATTAGGGGTTGCCAGAAGTCACCATGACTTCCAGGTAAACACACACACACACACACACACACACAAATATAAAAAAGAAGTCCATCAGATTTCTTCAGGACTTTCTTGTGATAACAGGAAGTTGTTCATTCTTATTTAGTACAATACATAAAACTATCTTCAGTTTCCACCACAAGAGGTAATTAAAACATTCAGAATGAGTTTATGGTACTCCTCCCTCCAGACCGTACTATGTCAAAATGCAGGAGTAAGGATTACGTATTTAAATGCTTCCCAGTATCAAAAACTACACAACATAGAAAAGGGTACTGTACAATAGAAAGGTTAAATGCAAAGCCTTTTCACTGACATGTTAGCCTTCTGCTTGTAGGGAGTTTTAGCCAAGGTGAGGCATTAGAATTTGCAGACTACCACCTGCATTCTGGACTAGTATATAACTAGGAAGAATGCATTGCATACTTGTTCCTAAAAATTTGAATGTGCATCAATTCCATCAAGTATAAGTACACAGTAAGCATAATCCACTTAAGTATGTGGCAGTGAAGAAAATAAAACTACCAGTATCATAATGCCCTTGCACAGATCTATAATGCAACAATATTTGAAATACTGCAGAAAGCTCTGTTCTCTCCCTTCTCAGAAAGGATACTGTAAATCTAGAAAAGGAGCAGAAAGGAATAACCAAAATTTACCAAGGGCTGGAATACCTTCGAAACCAGGAAAGGCTAAAAAGCTAAGGGCTTTGCAGTTTTTTTAAAAAAAAAGAAAAATAACTATGATAGATGTTTATAAAATTATGTATGGTGTGAAAAAGTGGATACACAGAACTTGCTCCTCTCCCATACACTAGACCTCAGAGACATCCAGTGATGTTCATAAGCAAGAGATTCAGGTCACACAAAAGGAAGTATTTCTTCACAGAAAACATTGTTATTTCATGGAATCTACTGCACAAGATTTGGTGGTAATGGTCACTAGCTTAGATGGCTTTAAAAGGGGATTAGACAAATTCATGGAAGATGGAGACTGCCTGATCTATACCAAATAGATAGCTCATGAGCTTCTTGTAGCTTGCTTGTTCCTACAGAGTAGTTTGTGCAGCCTCTAAAAGACCCAGGATATATAGGCAATATTTTTTAAAAATGTAATGTACACAGCCAGTAGACTTTCCAGGAAAATTTAATCAGAAAATTTTCCTATTCATATTTAAATCAATAATTTAAATCATGTTACAGAAAGAAGGCCAATAAACCATGTACAAGCACTGGGGTTTGTCCTTGCTGGATATCCCACATTTACCCCACCTATCATGATTGATATGCAGCACAACAGGCTTGACAACTGTTGATACAACTATATTTAAATATTCGGGGATGATATTTTTCCATGGAAAAATGTAACACTGGAAAATCTTCTGGCCTGCATCACTGACACAGCAGCACTTAGGTACTTTGTACACCTTATTTTCTTCCCATTTTATTTATTTCACTCTTCAAATGAAACTTTATATAAATAGCAATTTTCCCACTGATTCTATGAATGCAAAAGTTAGAATTAGCTAGCATATGATGAACTTTTGCTACCTTACAGAAGATGTTCTTGGCCTGTGATCCTTGGAATCCATGACCCACCCAACATGACTTTCTAGTGGAGGGTTTGTACTGTGACGTGTTTTTCTTTTTCTTCGTGTCTATAATAAACGAAATATAGCATATTTTACTAATGTGACTGGAGTCACTTTTTGGAAGAATCACAGGCTAATTAAAGTGAAGTTTCATAAAATTTCATATTGTATATCACTTGCATTATGAGGTCATAATGCTGAGCATCACTACCCAACCGTCTTGCTTTCACAAGTCATCAGTATGTCTTACAATTTCTTTATGGACGTAATAGTGTTAACCAAATCTATGAATATAATTTCCATACAGAAAAATTCTGATCCACAAGACCCCAAGGGCACTACGGTCGGGGACTCAACATCGACTGGTAACCCCAGGTCCCAAAGATATTAAATTTGCTGTTACCAGGGCCAGGGAGTTTTTGGTGGTGGCTCCTACCTGATGGAACGAGTTCCCGGAGAAGATCCGGGTCCTGCGGGACCTGGCGCAGTTCCACAGGGCCTGCAAGACGGAGCTCTTCCGCCAGGCTTTTGAGTAGGAGCCGCCACCATCACTATACCATCACCGTACCACCACCACTAAATGGAGTGGGTGTCATCAGGGAATGAGATGGCCCTGGGAGGAAGGACGGATCGCTGTATCACTCAGAGTCTATTGTGTCGCTTTTGGACCACTTTGTCATGTGTGACCCCATCAGTTATTTATGACATCTAGAGCACTTGTATTTTTACATGAATGATTGTTTTATTGCTTGTTTTATCTTGTTTTTATCTGTTTATGTTTGGCATATGTGCCTCATTTGTTAGCTGCCCTGAGCCCATTTGGGGAGGGCGGGGTATAAATTTAATAAAAAAATAATAAAAATAAAAACTGTTTCAGAGATTATGTACTCTGGCAATAAGGAACAGTGTCATAGTTTTAGGACTCAAAGTAAATGGCTTTTTGTTACCTTCATATCAATGGTCCTTGATTCTTTAACCACAGGATAGAATCTAGGTGTTTTGGTAGGATCTTGCACCCTTGGTGTACGAGGAGTTCTTGGTGTTCTGGAAGGACAGATTCTAGGAGACTCAGGGACAGCTGTAGGCAGTGAGTGAGCCATTGTTGCTGGAGGTACATCTTGAATACCAAACAATTTACAAGCTAGCTCTTCAGTTAAATCTAAATCAAAGGAATGTAAGATTGATAAATAAATATCAAGTACCTTGTTTTCTTAAGACAGAGACATATATAGGACTTATAATACACAGGATTCAAATTTAATATGAAAGCAATCACATTACTAGGCTCTTGAGCTTGTTTGGAGGTTCTAGCAGCGGAGCGCAGCTATTGTATACCCTTGACCGAAGAATGGTACACTCCTTCTATCTGGGATGGTCGTCCTCTTCAACCGAGCACGCAGCTTCGGAAGGGACGTACATGGAGCAGTGAGGGAGGTAGGGGACACCTGCCCAGCTAGCCAGATCAGCCGAATCAACCCTGGTGATCAATGGGGTGACAGATGTTGCAGCCAGATCACCCTCCTTCTAATTAAAAAATTGCATACTAATACAACCTGCAAATTTGATGTTTGAAGGGGGGGGGTGACTTAACCCATAAGATTCCAATAAGATTAGGAGTTAAACAAGGATGTATCTTAGCACCTTCATTGTTTAACCTTTTTATTAAATGATCTGGCTCTCTTTTTGAACACCACTGACGGGCATAGCCCCAAACTTGCTGCGTTACATGTCCCTCTCTTGCTATACACTGACGATGCTGTGTTACTTTCTCTTTTGCATATAGGTCTGAAAAGGTTGCTGTATCATTTTATGGATTATTGTGAGTTAAACTCATTGACTCTAAATTTCCAGAAGTCAAAATTATTGTTTTTGGGAAATCATGGAAACCATCTAAGTGGATTATAAGGGGGTATCACACAGAGCAAGTTAAAACCTTCAGATACCTAGGAGTGCTCTTCCATTGTAACTCCAGATGGGCTGCTCACAAAAAGGAAGTGAATCCATGAATAATGACATGCTAGAGGCTTCCGGTGGGTTGATAGGCGATGGCAGTTGTTCTCCTCGAAGCTCACCTCAAGTGGCACTCCCACGGAGCCCTTGTGGTGGGTTCCAAGCCAGAGGACTTTTGAGGGTTAGCCTCTTCGATGGCTTGAAGCCGTGGAATAGAGGCTTCCCTCCGCCCTGATGGTCCAGCCAATGGGTTACCTATGGGTGTAAGCCAATCTGACCGGGACAAGCGCAGGAGATCAAGCGGAATAGCGATGGAAGAGAGTGAGGTCAGAAGTGACCAACAATGAACGTGAGTGAGAGATAAACGGACTGTTTTTGTAAAGCGAAGCCCCCCGGAGTGCAGGGAGGGACGCCTCCTGAGCGACTGAATAGCTCAAAGAAGCGAAAGGGGGGAGAGGGGAGAGAAACAGCGTTACATTTTGAGAGACTTACTTGAACTTGGATAGAGAAACGGCGAGTCTTTCGAGCTCTGAAACAGAGGTGTTGAATTATAAACAAAGAGAGAACATGGCGGTTCCAAGGGGAAAAATAAAACCGGAAGGCAGCCAGAGTCCAAGATCG